GAGGTGGGGATTTTTCTGTATGTAGCCTATGTATGGATGTTAATGTTTGTATGGGAGCACGATTTTGTGCAGCTTAAAATAATCTCTGTGCCTCTTGTCGAAAATTTATGAAATTTTTCAGGGAAGTTTGCAGAGGCATTATTGTTATTGAATTTTGGTGGTTAGGGTGAAGAGTAAATAAAGGTTGGAATAAAGGTCGAGGGGTGAAGAGATAAAGGGACGTCGTGTCATATTTCGAGTGGGGTCAAACTTAATGAAGATTTTTACTGGTTATTAGAATTTACAATTTTTTAAAAAACTCGTCTCTACCCTCAAAATTAAGTTTTTGGCCATTTTATAATAATTAATAATATAAAAAAGTTAAAATAAAATTTTATAACAGATGACACCATACATAATTTTAACTCCTGCCCGGAAAGTTATGTAACTCGTTGCATTTTTTTCTAATCTGTTCTTGCGTAAAGGCAACAATCTGACTTGTGAGAAATTAGTCCAGAATGAAAACATCTCGAATCTGATCCAAAACCACACAGAAGAGCCTTTTACAGTGCTGAGATTAGTGCAGTTATACTCTTGCCGATTATTATAATTTTTATAACGACATGAAATATTTGTTATACGCAAGATAAAGATCTTTTCACACATTAATTTAGCTTGAGTTTACCCTACGAGAAATTATGAATGGAAGACAAATTGTTCTGCAAAAAAAGACGTTACGAGTGTGTTTGAATAGAAGAAGAGTATTTTTACTTTGACAATGGAATATACGACCTCCACAAAGTAAATTCAGAAATAAGCCAAGAATTGCATTGCTCTATAATGAATATGTATAAATACTTGAGTTTTCGAAGTGGACTGCGTGATATAAAAAAATCGTCTGTAAGCAATGACAGACAAATTTAATAATAAAAATTTGATTTAATATTTTTAAACATATATATATGCGATAAAATATTTTGAAAAATCATTTAATTTTATGACTCATTTGTGAAATTTCATTTTAAAAATATCTTTATTAACGTTAGTTTACATTTAAAAAAATGATTTTCTATTCATTAATTAAATATTAAATATGTATTTTAAAAATATATTGCTAAACAAATCATAACTCATATCTAACACGTTCACATGTAATTATAATTATTAATGTTTTATAAATATTTTCGAGAGTATTAATTAGATCAAAATCTACATAGTCAAGGATTTACATGTTAAAAAGAATGATTTAGTTTTGGAATAAGGCAACACATGAGCGAACTTCCGAGAGGACTCTTCTATAGAAAAATGGCCGCTATTTAGATGTTAGCCTAGAAACGTACGGTACATGCTATTTTCTAGACAACAGAAATTCTCATGTGCGATCCTAGGCTTAGACACGCGAAGAAAACTCGAAAAACTGCACGGCCAGCCCATTGATCAGGGACAAACTCGAAACCAATTACACTTAGCAATTTTCAGTGAGGGATGGAGCCTGGTATATCTGGAACAGACTGCCCATAAAAAATTCTTGGAATTTTTCGATCTGCTCGGATACGTCCAGAGTTCCTCAGGGTTGATGCCTTAACTTCCATAGCTATCCGCCCGCTAAAAAAAGTAGACTATATCTAGTCTCATTTCTCATCATCCGATTAGACTACCCCATGGTGAAATAACAGTATTCTTAATGGGGCTTTTACAAAGATCCTTTAAACACCTACAGAGGAAGAATTAAAAAGAAAAACCTAATTTTAGAATTTAATATAATTGTACATGGAATAACCCGGTATGTGTGGAAAATAACTCCCATGTCTACTGGTTTATTTTCTACATTTTACATTTTTTCCGTTTTACAATCAGTTTATATTTTTTAATTTTAAATATACTTGTTCTTAACAGAAATCTAGCAACTTGCTTCGCGTTGCTATGAGTCCGAAGAGACAAGGCTGCAATTTGAAAAAAATTATAGACCAATAAATCCCCTGTCGTCCGTCCGTCCGTCCGTCGTTCCTTAATCTCAAGAACAGAATTAGATAGATAAAAAATGAGACCAGATATGGAAACCATAGGGGCAGGAGACCCCGATTAACTGTATCCATTGCAAACTGATAGTCATGTTATTTCAATTCAAAACTTTTCCCTTGAAAGGTGTTAAATAGATGACCGGCACGACTCAATTGTTAAAGAAAAAGTATGATGTACAGGGGCAAGACACTAGAGTACTAATTTGAGGTGAAAAGCATATTTTAAATTAAATAAATTAAACATACGATTAAAATTGCAGCCCGGCATTGTGACGATGTCACAATAAATAATTGCTCTTGATGACTTAATTTTTTTTTTAACGTCGATTGGTTCATTCTTATCACTACTCAGTTTTAAATCATATAATTTAATTTAATCTACATTTAATTAAACTGTATTAAACGAATTATATCTTAACTATAATCTACAAAATAAAAATATTTATTTATTATAAAAATATTGTTTTTTTTTCCACGGAAAAAAACGAACTTACTTTCCGAACAACCCAATATCTTTTCCAATTTTAAACTCCTACTGTGGCTTAAATTTGAGGATGGTTTATATTTGAAGTAATACGGTATATTATGTTCACTAGGGCCTCCATAATATTTGTTCCAGTTACATTACCAGCTGCAGTATAATAACTAAGTATTAGTAATACAGATGAAATATGTAAGATAGAGGTATCAAAAAATGAAAAAAGATTTTTTTTAGAGAATTTGATTTTAAAAAGAAATATTGAGATAATTATTATAGAAAAAAATCAGAAATTTGTTAAACTTCTTTGCATTTCAGTGCATATTCTTTTCTTAATTAATTTCTGTTCATTTTCATATAAAGCAGGGTTCTCAAACTTCTCTGGCTGTCAACCCCTTCAAGGATTCCTTGACCTTTTATTGACCTCCCTTTTCTTTTTTTCTAATACAGCTAATAACAATAAATAAATAAATCTAATGACTGAGAATTAATCCATACATGCTGTTTCCATAGAAAAGATCTATTTATAGTAAGTAAATTTACATCACCTTGAACCATCATATAAATAATCCATTGGACTAATAATTTTTATTGAACCATTTCCAATCAATTACAAAAATGCCTTATCGATCCCTTTGAGGACCCCTGATTTAAACTATACTGTATCCTCAGACACAAATTTTTTACTGTAATAATTTTATATGATTTAGCTGACATTAATAGCTTAATTACTGCTAATGCTAAAGTAACACTTTGGTCAAACACTCTCAAGAAAAGGCTTCATGATAAACATGAAAGGAAGTTAAAGTGGATTATCAAATATTGGAATATTTACACAGGGTTCCAATAGAGCACACCTTAAATCTTTCTTTGAACTTTTGTAAAGTTTTCACATATATATCTCACTAGGCCACATGGATACGATTTTAATGTCGGCTAAATTATATAAAACTATACTGTGTCATATTAATACAGAGTGTCCAAGAAAGATCTTTATTATTATACAAGCTCATAACACAAAAATGAAGTGGTCTATTGAAATGCATTTTGTGGTAAAAGAAAAACAATTGCTGGACTAATTTTGAGGTTGGTGGAGATTTTACTATTACATTCATCCAGTTCAAATTTGAAGAATTCTTAATGTAAAAGAAAGAATAATGCAAAAAGTTTTTTATTACAAATGTTTGTATTGATGATAGTTGCTTGCAGAATTAAAAATAGTGACAATACATGAAAAGTACAATGTGTATTGTGCTTAGCTGAAAAAAAATTACTATATGCAAAGAAAGTATTGCAGGAAGTGTGGAAAAATATCAGAAAGTATCCCTTCAATTTATTCTTGAATGCATCACTTGAAGATTTGACCAGTTTCGATGGGCAATTGTAATCTTTCAAATGCTGAACACGTGTCTTTAAATTTCTGCATCCAAGAATAAATTGAAGGGACACTGTGATGTCTCTTTTTACTTCCTGAGATAATTTTTTTGTTGAGTTATAGCAATTTTGTTTTAGCTAACCACAATACACATTGTGCTTTTACCTCTATTGTCACCAATTTTAATTCTGTAAACCACTAGCACCATTATACTTTTTGAATTATTCTTTCTTTGTAAAAAGAAAATGCCCTCTTTTAACTAAAATTAATATTAACATGTAATACAGTACTTTTAATTGCAATTGTTAATTAATTATTGATTGCTTTAATAAACATATTTCTCTTAGTAACAAAAAAGAATAGTATACTTTTGCTAACTTCTGGTATGTAATAGTATGTTTTGCATTAGTCCTTTATTTCATATAGCACAGATTTGCATAACACAGCACTTTTTCAGAATGTAACTACTGTGTTATATGAAGGATACTTGTATATATACTGAATATATTTGCAACAATAATTATATATAATAAATAACTATTGAATATATTTGTTCCAAATGATTGTTTGGCACAAATATATTCAATATTGTTTATTATGTATGTTACTGTGAATGACTGATATCTGGCGAATGTCAACATTCTCCGGTGAATGTCAGCATTCAAACAGTCATTTCGTATATGTATAAAATATTTGCTAAATATCATTATTTCTCACTTACACTGGCAAATTCATCATGTGCTGATGGTGAATGTTGAAAAAAATATTTTTATTATGTTAAGACAAAAATGCAACATTTTAATATGTGAAAATAGGAGAAAGCTTAAGTAGTAGCACATGCAAATAAACTGTTGAACCTAAAACAAACAGTACATTCTAAATCATTAAAGAAAATAATACAATAATAAACTTATACATAAATTATGTGATTAATGTTATACAATCTTATTTATTGCAACAACTTAAATTGTTATGGCACTTTGAATTGCACAAGAGTCCCTTTCTTTTACAACTGCATTTATTCGTGGAGCACTTTTTTNCCGATCATTTCTAGAAAAATTTATTTAAACTTCCTCAAAACATTAAGAAAAAAAAGGAGAAAAAAAAAAAGATTGAAAGTGAAAACTAACTTTCTCTACATCGGACAGTAAAACGTTAAGTTTATTTTCGTAACCGTTAGGTTCGATAACCTTAAGGGAAAATAGAGAGAGAGAGAAATTACTCGATAAGAATGAACTGGAAGGATTTTTAGTAAAGATGTGGATGAAGCAAACCAATCGACTGACAACCAATCAACAACAGAAACCATCGTACGAAACGAACCAATGTCAGTTGACAACCTTAAAAGAGGAAAATGGCGGCCGAGACATCATCCAAGGAAGAAACGAATAACGAAGAAAACGATGAGATCAGCTGTCCCGAAAATAATCTAACGTCGCTTCATCAGGTAAATTTTTTAACCGTTTCGTCATACAATTTTCCGTTCCACCGATCTCCCTCCTCCTCGGTTGGTGTATAACGTTGATACGTCCCGAAGCGGGACGGGTCGCTCAGTCGAAATGCGGGTCTCTTCCCTTCAAATCCTCTTCAGGAATTTCGTACCGTTTAGGGATTAAAAAATAAATCGTCCCTAAAAAAACTTATCGTTTAATTTCGATGTAAAATGGGACAATTGTATATATTTTTTTATTAAATATTTACGTATTTGGCGCAACAGTTTTGCTTTACCTTAACACACTTCGTCCCCCCAAAAGTTCCCGGAATGGGATTCTTGTCGGTGATCGATGATCGATCGATCGATTGATCTTAATTATCTTTTAAATTTAATGAATGTTTTTACTTGCCCTTTTTTAATATTAATTAAATCCTTCGTAAAGGATAATTAAAATCGTCCCAATTTCATGATAAAATGGTGAAATGTGTGTAAATTTAAGTTAATATCCTATATATTGATTTCGTTTGATGGTGATCTGGATTAGAATTTTATGTATATAAAAAGGGAAATGTTAAGAATTAGATAATAATATATTAGTATTACTCTATAGGAAAATAGATTTTTGAATATTTAATATATATACTGTATAAATATATTAATATTTACATTTTATATACTTAAGAGATTCAGTGAGGAAGAATATTATCTTAATTTGTAGGGAAAATCAGTGTAATTTGTTTCATGGAGGTGACATTCTTAAAAAGATATAATAATAATAATAATAAACTTTGATTTTATAAACAGTAATTAATAGTTAAAATAGATAAGTAATCAAATCTACAAAATTATTACAAGATGATGATTTAATGTGGTTAAGTGGGATGTGTGTATCTTTTAAAAAGAAAAAAAATAATCATTCCAGTGTCCCCAGCCTCTTTTCCCCTGGTGGATAATATTGGAAAATTTAAAGATAAACAAAAATTCTGATATTAAGTGTAAATTATTTTAAACTAATTTAATAATTTTACTTAAATTATTTCGAACGAAAGATAAAAATACCAACGGGAAATGTTAAAATAATTATTTTGTATGTGTGTAAAATTGATGTTTAAAATTTAATATTGGAAAAATTTTTATAATATAAATATATATTTTTGTTGTCTGAGAATATTATTTTTTAATATTAAAGAAATTATTAAAAAAAATGTTTTTGTGGATACTTGATATACTGCATTTTGAAATAAATTATAACTGTAAGCTTTTATTAGCTAATTTTTTGAATTGAAAGCTATTGAATTAAGTCCTTCTTTTAAGAGGATCGAAGCAAATTTTTATATTTTAAAAATGTTATTGTTATAGCTCTGAAGAACAGATTTTTATCAAAATCTTAGTCATTACAAATAATACTTTTAATTGTTATAAAAGTTTATATTTTTCCCATGATAGACCAAGAAATCTTATTTATATAAAGCTAATAAATTTCTCTTAAAAATTACTGTTTAAAAAATAATCAAAAGATTACAGATTGTATTTTCTTGAAAAATGTATTTGAAAATAAATTACCTACCTTTATATGTATAGTTAGATATCAGATTTGTAGAAATTCAGCAGCATTTCTAAAATTGTTTGTTGTTTTATTTAATTTATAATAATTGTCATATTCTAACATTGTATGTGTTTTTTTATTTTGCAATTCTTAAATAAAATTTGATTCCTGTATTTCTGCTGTAGTTGTTTTCTATGAATTTATTTTTCCTATACAGTTTCTTAGATTTGTAGAAATTGGTATTTATTTGCTTACAAATTGTCCTGAAAACAATAAAATTAAATCTATATGTAGGATTAGTTTGGATAAATAATATTTAATAAGAATTGCCAATTTGAAAATTTTTTATTCTTTATAAAATATTAAAATAGACTGCAATCAGAAGCATAACTGGAAAGGAAGTAAGCTCCTTAATCTTTGTAAATAAATAAATGTTAAAGTCAAATAAGTACAGGAAAAATTTTAATATGATGAATGTACAGTACAATATATATATTTATATAAAATTTTAAGTGTTTATGCATCACAGCACTACTGACACATCCATAATGGTAGAGGATGATTGAATGTTTACACAAAAGCATCATCTCAATAGTGATGTGGGCTGGTCAGTGGATTCTTGATTTTTTGATAAATGTAATAGTTTCACATATGATAGGCAAAATACAGTTTGTTTGGTTGGTACAAAAATTATGGTATTTAGAGGCTAGTGCTTTTTTCTGATGAGTGTTCTGCAGGTATATCTTATAAACATGTAGGTGTGAAGACTTAGAAACGTGTAGCTAAAATTGAAGTTAACTTATTGAAGTTAAATTGAAGTTGTAGAGACTGTTATGTTAAACTAATTGAAGATATTTTATAAATATTTTTTTTATTAAATAAATTTTAGTGAAATACCTTATTACCTCAAATTTAAGCTGCATTTCAATTTTTAAGATGTAAAATTAGGGTATAGTTTAAATTCAAAGTGAACATTTTAACTTCTTATTTCTGCCGATCTCCCGCTCCCCAACAATTGGGTCTTTGCTTTATGCTCTACGTGTGCACATAGTATTACGATCATTGATAGCAGTTTATATGGTGGTTTCCTGTTTGCACTTTTCTGATTTAATCCAGTTGCTGTTTGATAACAGCTGTGTAGAACCAAATTTTAAATTTTTTTATTACCCATACTCACTAATAATGAAAAAATGGTTTACATAGGATGCTGAATTCAAAAGAAAAATTTATATTGTGTACTGAAGAAATTGAAAATCATGCAACTGGTAAAAGATTTTTGGTTGACAAAAAATGTGCATTGTTCAAGAACCATAAAGGAAAAGTTATTTCAGTGTAAAAAAGACAGAAAATCATTCTTGGGGCCAATGAAAAAAAGGAAGATACCCTGCAATTGATACAAATTGTATATATAAATTCATTTATTATTAGGTTGTTCGGAAAGTAAGTTCGTTTTTTTTACCACTAGACGGATTAGTCGTATTTTTCCCATTTTCATTCTAAACCATATTATCATTATATAGTTTGACAGCTAGCATTTTAAGGCTTACTTGTAAAAAATTTTGTGTGATTCTGTGCAATTGTTTATTTTTTGTGTACCATCAAATATGGAAGATCGAAAGATCATTTTTGGCATATTTTGCTTTTTTATTACCAAAAAATCAAAATGCTGTTCAAGCAAGAAAAAAATTGTGGTACATGTATGGAGATGATGTGTTGAGAGAAAGACAGTGCCAAAACTGGTTTACAAAATTTCGTTCAGGCAATTTCAATATTGAAGATGCACCATGTTCTGGATGACCAGTTGAAGCCAATGAAAAAAAAAAATAAAGGTGCTGATTGAAGCAAACTGCCAAATAACAACACATGAAATCACTAAGAGATTAAATTTGTCAAATTGAACTGTTTATGATTACTTGAAACAAATTGGTTTCGTTTCAAAGCTTGATATATGGGTTCCACATGTTCTTAAAGAGAGATGCTCTCTTTGGTGGGATTTTAAGGAAATTTTTTTTTGGAGCTTTTACCAGACAATTTAACAATTGATTTGAAAGTGTACTGCCATCGAGTAAACAAATTGAGTAATATCATCAAACAGAAAAGGCGGCCAGAATTGATCAACAAAACAGGTGTAGTGTTTTACCACGATAATGTCAAATTTCACACAAGTTTGGTAACTCGTCAGAAACTGTTATAACTTAGATGGGACATGCTATCACACCAACCATATTCACCAGATTGAGCACACTCAGATTATTACTTGTTCCGGTCTATACAAATTTTTTAAACTGTAAGACATTTACTTGAAATGACAATACAGTAATATCCCAAACTTATGCGATAGGTGGGGCCAAGTGATAACCACGTAAGTCGGGTATAATTTCGCAATTTATGTAAAATCCAACTCGGATGTATGTAAGCTAATAAATGTTTTCGTTAATCTTATCTCGCCTTTTGATTTGTTCACAGTTATAAGAAATCACCACATAGAGTCTCTCAAGTCCATAGATATAACAAACACAGAAATAAATAACACAAAATAAATTGTAGCTATGCGTTGATTCCGCGCGACATGTCTGAACATATAAGCTGAACAATAGTGTGGGGGGAGTGAGTAATCAAGGGTTGCGTGGCACTCAAACAAAAGACGAATCGATGAGATTTGAAAATTGCGTAACTCCGGATTCACGTAAGTCAAGGTATTACTGTATCAAAAATCACTCGGATCAGTTTTTTTGTAAGCAACGATCAAAACTTTTATGAATGTGAAATCATGCTACTACTAGAAATGATGACAACAGATATTTGACCAAAATGGTTGATATATAATTCAATAAAATATTTATTTATTATAAAAATATTGTTTTTTTTTCCACGGAAAAAAACGAACTTACTTTCCGAACAACCCAATATCTTTTCCAATTTTAAACTCCTACTGTGGCTTAAATTTGAGGATGGTTTATATTTGAAGTAATACGGTATATTATGTTCACTAGGGCCTCCATAATATTTGTTCCAGTTACATTACCAGCTGCAGTATAATAACTAAGTATTAGTAATACAGATGAAATATGTAAGATAGAGGTATCAAAAAATGAAAAAAGATTTTTTTAGAGAATTTGATTTTAAAAAGAAATATTGAGATAATTATTATAGAAAAAAATCAGAAATTTGTTAAACTTCTTTGCATTTCAGTGCATATTCTTTTCTTAATTAATTTCTGTTCATTTTCATATAAAGCAGGGTTCTCAAACTTCTCTGGCTGTCAACCCCTTCAAGGATTCCTTGACCTTTTATTGACCTCCCTTTTCTTTTTTTCTAATACAGCTAATAACAATAAATAAATAAATCTAATGACTGAGAATTAATCCATACATGCTGTTTCCATAGAAAAGATCTATTTATAGTAAGTAAATTTACATCACCTTGAACCATCATATAAATAATCCATTGGACTAATAATTTTTAT